ATTATAGGTATATATACCAGCTGACCCGGCGAACTTCGTCACAGAATTAAATAATGTGTCTAAAAACCAAAAGCAAAAACAAACAAAAATACTCAAACTTTTAAGTTTTTCTGATAAATAATAACACAGGCCTGCAAAAAATATTTTTCGAAAGTTGTTTAAAACTTGATAACTGACTTTTATTTACTTTTCAGCGTTGATTTTAAAAATGCAAATCATTTTTACCTATCAAGTCAGGTTTTCTCACAAAGCTGAGAGTATGTTTGGGTATAGTAAGAGTATATCTAGTACACTTACATTTCACTTTAAGCTCATGTCTATTTAATAACGCTTTCGCTTTCTTTCTAAGATTCTTTTACTGCTTTTCCGGCTGTGAACTCGTTGAGGATCATCTCCTTTCATCATCCAGCAGTAGTCTGCTATCATGCTTACGTTTCATCTTGCTTAAAATCTTCTTTTCATTTCTTTTCTTCTTCTTAAGGTGCCGTGCATTTCTGCGTAGGCGTCCACCGTACATCGTCTTGTCAGGTGAGATGTTAAATATTCTGGACTAAATAATTCTATTTTTAGCAGCATTACGAAGCATTTCATAGCTGTGGATTCCTGTCCATTGTCGAATATTGCGCAGCCATGACATTTTTTTACGTCCGAGACCTCTCCTACCCTCTATCTTCCCTTCGAGTATCAGTTGCTGAAAAGTGTATCGTTCTCCTCGTATAATGTGCCCCAAGTATGCAGTCTTCTTACTTTTTACATAATTACAAAGTTCCCTGTCCTGTAAGCCCGCTCTTCTGAGTACTTCCTCATTTCTGACCCTGTCCGTCCATGATATTCTGAGCATTCGACGCAGGCACCACATTTCAAACACTTCAAGTTTGTTAATGGAACTGGCCTTTAACGTCCATGCTTCCATTCCGTACAGGAGAACAGGCCACACGTAACACTTAAGCATCTTGTATCGGAGGTTGAAGTCCAATTTGCGATCAGTCAGAAACTTCCGAAGCCTCAAAAAAGCATTTCTGGCTTGTTCAACTCTGCTCTTTATTTCATTCTCGGGGTCCCAACCCTCATTCAGCAAACATCCCAAGTATTTGAATTGCCTGACTTGTTCGATTTCTTCTCCAGAGACATATATCTTTGCGTTGGGGTAATTATTTCTACTTATAATCATTGATTTTGTCTTCTTGATATTTATTTTCAAACCCCGAGCTTCACTTGCAAGAGTTAGATCATTTAAAAGGCATTGAAGATCTTCGATGTTATCTGCCACTATGGCTGTATCATCGGCATACCTGATGTTATTAATAAATATGCCGTTAACTTTAATACCCTTATTAGAGTCTTCCACTGCTTCTGCGAAGGCTTTTTCTACGTATAAATTGAACAGCATTGGTGACAGTATACAACCTTGCCTTACTCCTTTTTTAACGGAGAAATCTTCTGTTTCGTTGGAATTTTAAAGACGTACTGTTGCTGTCTGATTCCAATACAGATTGGCGATGATTCTTAAATCCTTTGCATCCAATCCCAACTCTTGTAGGTATTTTATCATCAATTCATGTTTTACATTATCGAATGCTTTCTCGTAATCGATGAATCAGATAAAAACATCCTTTCTTTGATCTAAACAATTCTGTATCAATGTTTGCATACTAAAGATCGCTTCTCTCGTGCCAAGTCCATTTTTGAAACCAAACTGACTCCATCCACTGACCTCTTCACATTTCTTAAACAATCTAGTGTGAAGTATTCTCAGGAAAAGTTTTAAAAAGTGACTCATTAGGCTTATTAGTCGGTGGTCCTTGCAGAAGTTCGCACGTGGTGTTTTTGGTAGGGCGATAAATCTAGATCGAAGCCAATCTTTTGGAATCTGGCCCGTATCGTAGATGTCGTTAAAGAGCTTGACAATAATGTCTAGGTTTTCTTCATTAAGTAACTTGATTGTTTCTGCGTACATATCATCTGGTCCTGGGGTTTTGTTACTTTTTAATAGTTTGATAGCGTGTACAATTTCAGCTTTCAAAATACTTGGGCCATACAAATGGTCTCCCAGTTGTGGTGGTTTTTGTGTTCTGTCATCATTGAACAAATTGGCTGTGTACATTTTCCAAGTATTAAGTATATCGCTAGGGTCCGTTATTAATTCATTTTGGTCATTATGTATACCAGTGACTTGTTTTTTCTTGAAGACACCAGCAATTTCCTTAATTTTCTTGTGAAGATTGAAGCTGTCGCCGAGTTTATATAGGCTTTCAGCCTCGGCGCAAAGTGTAGTCATCCAGATCTCCTTCGCCGCTATAATTTCTTTACGAATTTGACTGTGTATATTTCGGTACCCTACTTCGTCCTGCCTGATCTTACACTGCCTGCGTTGTTCCATCATCTCTAATATTTCTTCTGTCATCAACTCATTCTTGGTAGTTGTTTTACTCTCGAGTAGAAAAGTGTTGTTTAACTCATCAAATGATTCTTTTATGGTGGTCCATGACTTTTCAACATCATTCTCAGTTGCCATATTAGAGAACCTATTGTTTATTTCCTCTGTGTACGCTTCATTTGTTTCATTGTTTTTGAGTTTTCTAATGTTTACTGATGCCTTCTGGTGTTTTCTTTTAGCTGTAGCGAGCCTCAGTTTGATATTTGCTACTAAGGGGTTGTGGTCGGATCCTACGTCAGCTCCAGGTAATGCAGATACCTTAGTAATAGCATTCCTATACCTTCTATCATTTCTTTTATGTCGATGAAATCTTTTCCCTGCTCTTCACTGACATCACCAAGGTTTTCCTTAAAGTAGTCAAGATGTGAGTGTAGAAAGGTAAGTGTACTGCTTATGTTACAGCATAGCTTCTCTTAGTTGTCGATCATGTCTGCGATAATTGTCTTGTAGTTTGGAGCTCTTTTGTTATTTAAAAAATCAGTAACTACTAATTTAAAATATGTCCATGTCTCAACATTTTTAACCCCTACTTGTAAGCCTTCTCTTAAAGGTCAAGCTTGTTTTATGTTGTGTTGCATTCTGTCTGTACTGTCTTATTGACAGAGAAAGCAACAAAACTTTTTATAGGTGCTTTGTTGACTAAGCGGCATTTAAATCACGTTTAAATCACCCCACATTGTCGTCGATTTGTGTTCTGAATAGCAGAGTTGTAGCAATCACTGCTGTTGTACTTGCTGATTCAATGGCTCGTGATCATTATATATTTTATCCAAATGATCTAGAGGAGAAAGTTTTGGAACTTCGGGTCCATGAGAAACAGGGCGAATGGCTAATTGAATGTTAGGGTAATAAATATTTTTTTTGTTTCTCAACTTAAATCCTCGTACGGTGCAAGAACGAAAATAGCAGTCATTTTTATGATTTTTGGACTCCCTCCAAACCATTGGTATTGCAAAAAGGAAGAACTGCTTTTTACCTTAAAACCATTTTCTCAGTTCTTTAACACATACTGAACAAATTTTGTGTTTGGGCAAAGACTTATTTTGATTGCCTAACTTTATATCACAATAGACGAAATATACAATACGTAAACTGCACCAAGTAAAGAGCTGCTGTTTACTGTAGGACAGTATAAGTGGCTCACTGCTTGTTAATAGTAGGAAAAGAGGCAGCGGACAGATATGCACTGACATGAAAGAAGGCGCAGTGAGTTAGCATGTGGATGGGGAGGAACAACAAGTATTCACATAAAAATACTGCTGATTTCTCCTAATTACCTTGATTATATGATTGTGTAAAATAACTGTATGTGATGGAATTTTTTCACTATTTTTTCCGAAATCATCGTTGAAAACACTATGAAAATCTCTTATTTAATTTTAAACAATTTTTTGGTCGTAGACCTGTGTAATATATAATAAAAAATAATTTATTTTTTTTTGCGTTCTTGTATTTCTTTAAACTCAATGCAGCATTTTTATAAAATTCTTTCTTTTTAAAGTCATAAAGGTGTTTGTAATCTTGTTTAACGTCCCTATATATGTTTGTTGCATGATCGAGCTAATTTTTGTAGAAACTGTGAGATATGCCATCAAACCATTGCTGGCTTTGTTTACACTCTTTCTTTACCTTAAAAACTTACATTATTAATTGTGTGTTGACTTTTTTACATTACATTTTACATTGCTGTTGTTGCAGTTTCGCAACAATACATATATATATATATATATATATATATATATATATATATATATATATATATATATAGTCCCAAGATTCCTAAGAGGAACATGGGCTTCCACAAAGTGTCTCCAGCGAACTCTATTTCTGCTAGTGCTTTGATTTCAAGCCAGGATTTTCCCGTTTTTTCTCTCCTTCGTCCGGTACTGTCCTTCTTCAAGTTCCCTTAGGTCTGCCTACTTTCCGTCGGCCTTGGGGATTCCAATCCAGCGCTGTCCTGGCAATGTCATTTGGCGGTCTACGGAGTGTGTGGCCCAGCCATCTCCTAATATCGTCACAGAGCCCAATTACCTTTTCTCCTTTTTTTAAATATATTATAAACAATCATTGGGCGGTTTTTCCGACGCGCGAATAATTGTCCATGTTTACAATGAGTACCATTTGAGAATCAAACGGTACGTTCGTTTTAATCATCGGTATACGCGGATCCTATCCTTTATATTTTTCCCTGATCGTTGCCTCAATGACATTATTCATTAACGTTTTCACAGTCGGTCTCGTTGAGTTCAGTTGGAAAAAATATATTTGGGAAACTACTCTTTATCGTTACAAAATATCTGGAATTAAGCTATCCTGACAAGTATACAGGTCACTGCCTGCGTCAAACATCGGCAACTCTTCTGGCGTGTATATACACTATATGGTTGCAAAAAAAACCTCATCAAAATACTTAAAAGTCTTTATTTTTTATAACAATACTGGACATTTTTTAATACTACATTCATAAAAAACAAACACGTCCAAAATTACCTATGTACATAGTACATACATTTAGTAACTTGCTGTTTGAATTAAAAACATATAAATATATAAAAAAAATCAGTTATTGTAGTGATTCTATATTTAACCATACACCTCCAGCTACACTTGTGACAACAGCGTTTGGAGCATATTTTATGGGAAGTTGTGTTTTTTTGTTCAGAGTTACGGAGAAATCTTTGATAATGGTCACTATTCCCACTTTGGTCTGTAGCAATCCAAATCTTGGGGCTGAAAAATATCCAAAATTTACTAACAAGTCTTAAAAACCCATTTTATTAAGACAAGGTATTTGAAGTTCATTAACTGCGAAACCTACCAATAGCGACCACCCTTGGGGAATCAAAGCATACTTTTTTAATTTATTTTAATAAAATTTAAATTCACATTTTATTTTTTAAAGCTTAGAAATATTTGTGGATGTCAAAATAGTTCTCATTAATAAAAAAGTTTTCTAAATCACTGAGACTTATATAGGCTTTAGATAAGCTTGGTATAATTGATACTGGAGAAACTTTAGATTTTTTTTTCAGGTTCAGAGTTAAGAATACTTTCATTTATTTTTTGTATTTATTCAAAACAATCATTGTTGGTCAATTCTCCATTTTTTATTGGCACATCAATCAAGGTAAATTGTTCTAAATCCACTAACGTGCTTGATAATCTTCTTCTTATGGTGCCCTATCCAATTACTGGATGTTGGCGACAATTCTGGCACAGTCCTCTCGATTTAAAGACTGCATGGGCATCGAGGTTTGTCCAATTCCTTATGTTTTTAAGCCATGAGTATTCCTTTTTTCAATGCTCCGTTTTCCTTCTACCTTTTCCTTCCATAATAAGCTTTAAAAACTGGTACTTGGAATTTCGAAATATGTGACCCAGATAAGCAGTTTTTCTTCTTTTTATTATTGGCAGAAATTCTGGTTCTCTGTCCATTCGATTTAATACTTCGACATTTGTTGTGTGATTTGTCCAGGGAATTTTAAGTAGTCTTCTAAATACCCACATTGCAAAGGCCTCCAATCAGTTCATCACATTGGTCTTTATGGTCCAGATTTTGTACACCATACAGCAGTATGGAGTAAAATTTTACTAAGCAATATCAAAGCGTTAAGTACTGTTGCATAGCAAGGTTCTCATATTAGTAAATGCTGTTCTGGCTTGCTCAAATCCTGTTCAATCCTGCTTGATAATGGATACTAATAAGTATCCTCTTTTTTAAAACCATTCGCATCTAGATTACATATAAATCCGGCTATAGAAAAGCGTTTTTTATTGCCATCGGCGACAAAGTAAGCCAAGCTACTGTAATTCATACCAATGTTTTTTAATGATGACAACCAGTGTCTATACAAATTAAAAGCCTTTTAATAAAGTAGCTGTTATAGACCATTTAAAATTGTGGATAATATCTTGGTCCAAGGGTTGGTAATGTCAATGTATTTACAAAAATGAGGATACGCATATAATACTTACCAATACACATTCTAGGTCCTTCTCCAAAAGGGATGTAAGCAAAAGGATGACGTTTTGCTTTATTTTCTTCATTAAAACGTTCCGGATCAAATACCTCTGGATCGGGATAATGAACCGGATCCCTGTGAAGAGCTAAAATCGGAACTAATACTCTGACTCCCTTTTCAATCACTAGATCTGTGTCAGGGATTTTGTAATCTTTATTGCAGATTCTTCCTATTCCTGATCCTGGAGGATGCATTCTTAATGACTCTAAAAGCGAAAATAAAAAGATGTTAATACATAATGAAGCGCATACGTGATTAAATTTTCAAACCTAGCAAGGTAAAATATTAAAGCATTAGTGCAATTAGTGTATTTGTAAAATTAATCCTGTTCTTGTGCTACTATTTTTAAACTATTTTTTTTTTTTCAAGAGTTTACCCCAATTGTTTAAGTTTTTGTTAAAAATCTCTTCTGGTAGAAAAAAGTGTATTATATTTATAGATTTCATTGGCACCAAACATTTGAGTTTTAATATTACAACAAATACCTCTATCGCTTTTATACCTTCTTTCTATACTTTTTTCTATGTAACATAATGATACACTTACCATGAACAATTTTATCTAAATAAGTCATTTCCATTATGCCTTCGTAAGTTAATTCGTTTTCGTATTTTTCCAATACTGTAGTTATTTCGTTTCTCAGCTTATCTTGAATTTCTAGATTTCTGGCTAGCTCTAACATAGTAAATGTCGTTGTCATTGCAGATGATTCAAAACCACCTACGAAGAAGACATAGCACTGAGCAGCTAGCTCGTTTAAGCGATAAAATCGACTATTGCTATCAGTTTTGCTCACGGAACTTACATGATCATCCGATAGTTTTCCTTTATTTCTTAGTTCTAACAATAGCTGCATAAAATCGTTTCTGTGTACGTTATTTTCTTCTCTATAGCTTACCGTACTTTGTACCGCTTCCATGAAGAAGTCTTCAATTTCACGATCTACTAAATTGATCCGTATTGCATCTAGAAACCATTTAGGAAAACTATTACCCATTTGTCGTTTTAAGTGTTTCCACTTTCCAGCTTCAAATATTTTCCTGCCGAATTTTCTGAATTCCGACTCAGGATTTTTGAGACTGTTACATTCAATACCAAATGCAGCTGAGCCGATAATATCAGTTGTGAATCTAGAAATTATTTCTTTGATATCCACACCATCTTGGAGCATAACATGTTTTTCTAAAATATCTTTTAGGTTTTCAGAGCAAGCTACCATAATTGGAAACATCATCTTCATCTTTCCTAAAACCGAATATATTAAAAAAAGAATATATTATATATATATATATATATATATAATATATATATAATATATAATATATATATTATGGTTAAATGAAAAAGAATATATTCTAAACAAACTCGGTCTATTGTAATTTTTCTCTAAATTTGATAGTCGTTATAAACCATTTAAAATTAAAATAAAAAACTCAAAATTGCCATTTTCAAGGCTCAAAAACACAACTAAAAAATATTATTTTTTAAAAACGGTATTAAATTTCTTTGGAAAGAAAATAAATAAATGGAAAGAAAAAAACAGTGTAATTAATATGTAATTAGGTGTAATTGATTGTTTTTTTCTTTCCATTCTCTGTATGAGTTAATATACACCAGTAAAATATGCCATCTATCAAGTTTTACTATTTTTACAACAAATTTTAAAAATTTTATGATGTATTATGTCCATAATTGTATATTTTAATGTGTTTGTATAAATGTTGAGTGTCAATGCTTACAAAAATAATCTCAACGACTAGTAAGTTACACTGAAGAATTGTGATATTTTAAAATATTTACATAATTGTCTTTTACAGTGTCTTGAAAAAGGAATAAAACCATTCCGAAAGCTCGACAAAAAGTCAAAAGAGTATTTTTTTAACATCCCGGCCAATATTCTGACTGCAACCCTAATAAACTATCTTGTTTGTTTATATCGACAGTCACTAATATCCAGTATTTCTTATATATATATCTATATATATAATATATATATAATATATATAATATATATATATATATAATATATATTATATATCATCGGAAAAGGAGTACGACCGTCAATCCAATATAAATTAAGGATCACTCAGACGAGTGGTGGGTTCTTTTATCGGTCAAAAGGTGGAGAAAAAAGACAAAGTTGATGGCTACTTTATCTATTTATTGAAGACGTTTCGCTTTTATATTCAGAAAGCATCATCAGTTTTTATCTAAAAAGAACAATATAAAAAAAACCACACAAGCATGGAAAAGGTTGTTACATGTGTTACCTTAGATATGTGCTACATATCTTTTAAAGTACTAGTCGAAGTTCTCGCAGCATAACCGTAGACTACACAAGGACTCCGGTCAGTCTTAGGTAAAATTTTAAAGTGCGTCTTAAAAAGAACATAGAGTTTGTTGAAAGAGTCAAAACAAAACACATTAACGATGACTTTTGTTTTTAAAAATTGGTGTAGGTGTTCCTTATTTTTATAATTTATTTAATTTTATAAAAATAAAACTTGTTAAACCGTAGGTAAACAAAACAATACTATTTAACTAAATATACTTAAGAATACGAAACTTAACAGATAAGTTTATTCACCTCAATCTTGTGTTTTATTTTAAAAAGAAAGTCTTTACTCGGTTAACCGAATTCTCAGCAGAACACTTAATTTTAAAGTATTATTAATAGTTAAAAGATCATACAAGTACCCCGATAAACTCGGCAAAATTACAATGTTCTGGCAAAAATTTAAAACCATTTTTTATATAAAATTAATTCTTGGAACTGTAACCCTGTGCTGTCGTCTCCAAAAATTTTGAAGGACCGAAGTTTTAATGCAATTTGTGAGTAACTAATCGGAGAGTGGCCCAACGACTGGACAAGATCCACTTTCCTACCACATTTAAATCCACAAGACCCATCCCTACATTTAAAAAAGGAACTCCGCTAAATTGCAGCAACTACAAAACGGTAACCCTAATATCCCATGCAAGCAAGGTTCTACCTAATGTAATAGATGAAAGACTCAAATCTTTTCTGCTGCCTCAGATATCAGAAGAACAAGCGAGATTTTTTACCAGGAGAAGGCACAAAAGAACATATCCTTAATATCAGACAGCTAATCGAAAAAACTCGTGAATTAATACTCCTATGCTTATATGCTTTGTGGATTACAAAACGCACTAATTCCACTAATTAGAAGTTTATATGAACATAATAAGTGCACAGTAAAAATAAACAACACCCATTCCGATCATTTCAGAACAGAGGCAGGTATCAGGCAGGGGTGCATAATCTCGCCAACTCTGTTTAATATCTACAGCAACCACATTATGCGAAAGGTACTATAGTTGGGCCGCCGAACAGATAGAATTATCACGTGAACACCATGCGCTGGTTATGAGTTGCAGTTCCCAACGTCACAAGTTCGATTTACACTAGGTCAAAAAGATAGATACAATTATCGCAGTGAATGCAGTAAAAACCCATACATAATATACATATTGAAAACTTAATTATATTTCTCTATTTGCCACTGTAATAATGGAGTTATGATATTTACAATTTATTATTGATTATGTAGTAATCGTGTGACCAACTAATCCAAAAAATCATCAAATTTAAATTTCTATATTTTAATTATCGTCTTCTGAAAAGACGATTCCAAAACAATTCGTGTATACACACGAAATTGTAGTGATTTATTGCTGATCAATGTTTTTTTTTTCGGTTTTGTCAACCATTTTAAGTAAACAAAACTCTTAATTTCGTTCGCGCTATTTAAAATCAATCCCATCGAATGATTTATTTTCAAACCATTACGTGCTTTGAACCAAAATCAAATATGCTGCGTTGCAATACGATTTTATGTAAAATTTATTTTATGTGAGTAATGCTTAGATTAAAGAAACCAAACCAAACCAAAGTTTCGTTAATCTAAGGAGTAATCAGTCTGAAGCCGCAAATAATGCAAATAATAAGTTAAATAATCAATAAAATGATGATATTAAAGTTCTATATCTAAAAAGATCGATGATTTTATTTAATATGGTGCGTTGTGTACACGGCTTCTCCCGTTCGGTTTCAAACGCATGTACGTCTGCAGACAGCCAATCACAACTATACAACTCTCCGACACTCGGTGATCACTCCACGATCACGCAGCCTTTGGATTCTATCTGTTCGGCCTCAGCGGCCCAACTATAGACGGATGGAAGGGCGGAATATCAATAACTTGAGATATGCTGACGACACTTTAATGATCGCGGCAAATCAAGAAGAAATGGAAGACATAATTAGATGTCGGAAGGAAAAAGCAAAACATTTGGACTAAAGCTAAATAGGAGTAAGACAAAGATGATGATAGTAGACAGAGCTCGGAATAATCTTCAACATAATGAAAAAATTGTAGACTTTGAAGTAGTAAAAAGTTTTATATACCTTTTGTTTCTAATAACAAATGACGAAGGGTGTGACAGAGAGATACGTAGAAAGTTGACTATTGCTACAACAGCTATAAATACAACAGAATTATGTGCAGTATTTTGGACACATTCCTAGAAGAGCGGGTGCGATGGAAAAACTTATAGTCGAGGGTAGAGTTGAAGGAAAGAGACCTAGGGCAAGATCTCCAAGCCGTTGGGTAAACAAAGAGATTAGGACTGAGGAGGAGGAATCGATCGATTAAAAAAAAATAATGTTTACAAAAATAAGTAATCAAAACACGTTCCATATTATGTATCATTTGAACTGCTGGGTTACATGTGGGTTGCTCCTCCTTTTTTTCAGGGGGTACAAATTATAAAACTTTTTGGGGGTTATGTTCTCATTAAATCATAATTGAAATATCTAAAATAAATTAACGCATTGGCAAATCAATAAATGGTCTAGAAACGTGACAAAAGTAATTATAGATGGTAAAAATTGTATTTTTGTACAAATGTACATTTCAGTCAGATATAAAAATATATGATTGGTAGATAAATAAATAAATACTGTAAGAAAAGGGAAACTTTTCATCTGAAATACAAACCAAATGAGAATTACAGAGTTTCTATGAGAACAGAAAGTAAAAATTATTAAATCAAATTATTTACCGCAACAACAGATATAAAATAATGTAGATATATTTTAAATTAATAAATATCTTACCTGTGGTGAATGTAGGAGTCAACTTTCCTCTTAAAATCTTCCATTTCTCACCTTCCAGAGTAAAGAGATGCTCAGAAAGTGGTGATCTTTCTTTATTGAAATAAATGCCACGGTTTACAAAATGCCCAAAATCCTTCTGTAAAACATTCTTTACAATATTCACATCGATTGGCATAAAATTAGGTTTCGTGAAGGCATAGTATCCCCCATACCGCAAACCTCTATTTTTGAATTCGTCGTACAATATTTTTAATTGATCCGAGATGCACAATTTTCCATTGGAAAATTCTTTCAAGTTTCCATAGAGGAAGTATGGTTCTACTTGATACACACCGCGTCTTTTCCAGTAGTCGTAATGCCGTTTTTGGTAGACATAGATGACTAGGATCAAAAATAAAATAAAAAGCAAAAACATCATTCAAAATACAATTCTTTGCGACTGATATGTTTTGCAAAATCTGTTATTTATACGAAAAATATATCCGGTATAATTTGCAGTAAACATGCATTCAGTTCATTGATCGAATAATGATAAGATATTTGTTACTTACTTGCAATTGTTTCCATATAATATACAAAATATACAAATATATAGTACTTATACATATAGATACGACTTTAAATTCGATTCTATACGATTCTCAAGAGAGAAAATCAAACAGCCGAAATATCGAGACGAGTAAGAATGGGATGGGCAGCGTTCGGCAAACTTTCTTACGTTCTAAAAAATCAAACAATCCCTCTATACTTACGAAGCAAGGTATATAACTCCTGCATAATACCGGTGCTCACCTACGGAGCACAGACAAGGACATTTACACAGGCCACTTTGGATAGGATAAGGAAGGCACAAAGAGCGATGGAGAGACAAATGTTGGGTGTATCACTTAGAGATAGAAAACGTAACCAGTGGATCGGAACCAGAACAAAGACAGTAGACGCGATAGAACTAGCAGCAAAACTGAAATGGAAATGGGCTGGACACAATGAACGTCTCCAAGACGGACGATGGAACAATGCCATCGGAAAGTGGCGTCCATATAATGCAAAGAGATCAAGAGGCAGACCACAGATGAGGTGTAAAGATGACATCAGGAAACAAGGAGGTCCCCACATGGCAGAGAACAGCTCAAGATAGGGAAAGATGGAGAGAAATGGGGAAGACCTATATCCAACAATGGAAGGATAGAGAATAGGTTAAAAAAACGACTTCTCATTAAGCTTTCTATTATGAGCACTTTGCGCCTGGCTTATGTGTTTTTGACTATATATTAATCTTTGCATCTCAGATCTGGCTTTGCTCTGTATAAAAATATAAAGTGGTGGAAGATTTAGTAGGACTTTCAAAGCGCTGAAGGAGTTGTTTTTATGGCATCCGTAATACACAGACACGGTAGCCTTTGTCTATTACTTAGCAGCCTTATTGCTCCCACTTGGATTCTTTGACCACCACGTCATAGAGCCATAGGATATCATTGGTCTGATAACTCTTATGTATAACCAAAAGGTCATTTTCCAGTTGAATCACCAATTCTTACCACACATCCTTCTACATCTGCCCAAGGACATAAAAGCTTTCTGTATATTTTTTAGTACGTGAGTATTCCATGTAAACCTATGATAAAAATATAGTATGTTTCTGTTACTAGCTACTATGTTTCTTTGGCAAATGAAATCTTTGTTCCTCCTAGCACTAGTGGTTTTAGGCCTTGTAATGGTCACTTTTTTATGAAGTAGATTGTTTGTTTTTTAAGCATTGACTGTTAGTCCCTCTTGTTTACATCAGTTATCAACTATATTTTCGGTTACTTGCATTCTCCATATACAACCTTGGCGAATTTACCCCTGACGATGATTGCAGCCTACTTAGACAGTAAAATTCTTTTCTGGACAGATTTTTGGAAAACATCATCTATCAAGGTTGTCCAAAGTAGAGATGTCAAAACTCCTCCTTGTGGACAGCTACCACGTACTATTACTTTGATGGTTGCTTTACTCAGAGAGGAGATTACTATCCTATTCTCCAGGCATGCCCTCATCCATTTGCGTATTATCGCAGGCGTACCTCGTCTACTCATTGCTGTAACCAAAGAGTTGGTGGTATCATTATTATATGACCCTCAATATCTAGAAAAGCGGCCATTGCTATCTCTTTGTCTTCTATTGACTCTATGATAAGCCTAGTTAGATTATCTAAGGCTAAGTCGGTAGATTTACCAGGTTGGTGTCCATATTGACAATTGCTTAGAGGATAATCTTTTATTACGTCGTCTCTTATGTACCTATCCAGAAGTGTTTCCAGCGTTTTTAGTAAAAAATATGATGGGCTTATTGGTCTATATGATTTTGGTCTTAGGTCTGCCTATTTTGCTATATTTTTGGCACGACCTTTCATGCTCAACTCTCTTTGTGGATCTTGCATATGTTTCTTTCGAACAATAAATCTTTTAAAGTTAAAAATAAATCAAATTATTGTTATTAAAAATTATGTCTATTGCCTAACGAATATAAAAATTTAAAAAATACACCTAATCTACTAACCGCACAGTTACCCACACGTCGCCTTCTACTGCTGATATTATAGACTTGGGGCTGTACTTGATGGGAAGTTTCGTTTTTTGATGCAAAGATACTGCGAAATCTTTTATTATGGATGCTATTCCTACTTTTGATTGCAGGAGTCCAAATCGTGAACCTTAAATAAAGTATATTATTAAAAAAGGTCACGTAGTCTACCAAACAGGTGATAAGATAAGATTAGAATAGAAATTTATATACATTTTAAATTTATAAAATACAATTTAAACACATATTCTTTATTCCTATCTACTACGGTTGTCGGATAATAATGTAGCGATTCTGACTTTATTAACTTCTGCTCTAAAAATCTGTTATTAGTAGAGTTGAACCACTTTCCTAAGTTCTGTATCCAGGACGTTATTGTTTATTGTGCAGTATACTAGCGATAGTGCAAGCACTCCTGACCACGGCGCAGTAGACGAAATTTGGTTTAGTCCCCACTTCCATGCGAAACGCATTGTAATATGCACTGTATAATTCTACTTACAATAGAACCTTTCTGCCTTTACGTGAATTTGACTCCGCCTTCTCGCAGCTTCCATGATCAGGATGGTTTGAAATATCTTTGATAAATATATCTATCATATATACATCATGATTATATCTGTGTCGCTGTTTGGACTTCAGGAAAATGGCCATCTGATTGATGTACCTCAATTTATATTCCGCTACACAAAAAAGAAACAACTACCAGTTGTGAAAACTACCGCAAACTCTCACTCATCAAAAACAGATTAAAAGCCTATTTACATTATTAAATACCTTAGGAATAAGCGGGTTTTGTAAAAGGTAAAAGGTACACGAAACCAAATTCTAGAACCTGAGATGACTTATTAAAAAGTCTAGAGAATTTCAGGTACCTATGATTATTTGCTTCGTTGACTATCAAAAGGCATTTGATTCTGGATAAATATGTGGTCTATTTTAATAGAAATTGGCACATCACTTGCACCTGGTCCAATATAGCAACAGTACGACTAGAAGTACGATCAGAAGTTCTTAAACTAGTTCAAGACTGAAAGAGAAGTGTTAGATAAGAATACGTGTTGTCACCTGACTTATTCAACATTTATGGTAATTATATCATGAGGATCGCTTTAGATGGACGGGCAAGTGGAGACACAGTGGCTGGTAGGACGCTTATAGCAGCAAATGAGCAAGAAATGTTTGATCTCCTGCGAAGAGTTGAGTACGAAAGCATTAAAGATCTGAAAATCGATAAAGCTAAAACAAAAATAATGGTGGTCGACAGATTTCACACTATTCAACTGACTAATATATTACAGGAATACCAGATAGTGGACAGTTTTTGTCTATCTAGGGTCTAGTATAACTAAAAATAGTGACTGTAAAGCAGAAGTTTGGAGACGTATTGGTATGGCAAAACAAGGCAATAAGTCGTTTGTAAAGACATATCTATCTCTCAAAGTATCAAGATGAGGCTGGTGAATGCCCTTTCATTCTCAATATTTCTATACGCGGCAGAGACATGACTCTTCGCTGACGCGAGGGGGAAAAATTGATACCTTTGAGATGTGGTGCTGAAGAAGAATGCTGCGCATACCTTGGACATATTATAGGACAAAACGTTTTCCATTCCAAACCAACTCAAAATTAAAAAAGCTGTCACAATATATCTCCAATGTATTCTGCAATTTTTCCGTCAGTGGTTCACAGAGGTGACGATAGTTTTGTAGAGATTAATTATTTTTGGAAACGTTCCGGGAGAAGATCAAGAGGACGATCACCAACTAGATGATCCGACCAAATTATTAGTCCGAGATAATATTTTCGTGATCATTTTCCATTTTGTAAAAAACTCTTCACTGGTCACTACTAAACAGATTTTCAAAATGCGCCTTTAGTATCACAGTTTAAAAAGCTTTTGAGTTTTTTCATTGATGCTTCGAATAAAGCCCAAAATGTTAACCCATCCAGAAAAATATATATGAGCTGCTTCTCAAGCAAAAGACTTTCATTTTCTATTGTATACTGTTGGTTTTGTTTTTATGTGGATGAATGCTGCTCATGCTTTCTTAATCATTTCTTTTTAATTTTTAATACACTACTCTCACTAGAAATGTCCTGGTTCGAATGGTAATCAAGACGATGAGGAAATGCGCAAAGTTAAGACAGCTTTAAGAAATGGATTCTCCACGTCTACGATTGAAAATCACAGAAATTTCGAAACAGAATCAGAAATCCGGTAGAAGAAAAAAACCAATTGGAAAGATTATCCTGCACTACATAAAAAACACGGCAGATAAAAATCGGCAAAGTTTTAAAGGAAAATAAACTAAAGACTCTATTTAACACCCACAGTAAAATTTCAACCATATTATCATTCGCAAAAACAAAAATTGCACTGTAAAATCAAGGAGTATACAAGATTCTTTGCGACAAATCGTACATTGGACCGACCAATAATTTCTTTTTCTAACTTTTTTCTATCTGCTCACCTTTAGAATCTTAATGATTTCTTCCATATCATCAATCCATCTTTTATGCGGTCGTCCTTTACTTCTTCTGTCCTTTTGAGTTTAAAAGTGTCAATCTCTTCAAGTACTTATTATTTGATATCATCATCAATCAGCCAATCGCGTCCACTGCTGGACATAGGCCTCCCTCAGTTTCTTTCCAGTGTTCTCTACACTGGGCCGCTTGTAGCCAGTTTCCCGCTACACGTTTAATGTCATCGTCCATCTAGTCGGTGGTCGTCCTCGGCTTCTTTTATAATTTCTGATATTATTTTGATATACTAGCAGCCTATATTAGTCTCTGCACCTTAATTAATTTTACAATATCTGGATCTGTGTATAGCTGGTATAATTCAAAGTTATATTTTCGACGTCATAGGACTATTTCATTTACAGCCCAAAAATCGTTCCAAAACTCATAGACACAATAAGATACCAAATACCAAAGAAGGTCAACAAAGATTTAGAATTACTACAGACTGTTAAACACCGAAAAATGTCTTATCTGGGACAAAGATTGAGGAAAAATCAATACTGCAAATAATTTTTAAAAGCAAAATAGAAGGAATAGAAGGAGATGTAGAAAGTAGAAAATAGGTCTCTTTACTAAAAAATATTCGTGAATGGACTCAGACAACAAATGTAAGATAATTATTTCATGTGAGAGGCAGAAGATAATCTTAGCAATAATGATTGCCAACGTCGGACAATTCTGATATGGTACGTGATAAAGAAGAAGAGGTTATGGAAATTCAGATGACCTATTCAAATAATGCTTTTTACCTGTAAAATCATTGTTTGTTAAATTTATTTAAAACTAAGAAGATTAAATATCAAAAAAAATTCTTACCAATACACATCCTAGGTCCTTCTCCAAATGGCATGAAGGCGAACTGATGTCGTTTTGCTTTATTTTCCTCATTGAATCTCTCCGGATCAAATACATTAGGATTAGGATAATGATCGGGATCTCGATGAATACCTATGACTGGTATCAAAACTCTAACTCCTTTCTCGATGACAATGTCCGTATTGGGAACTTGATAATCGGCATTACAGACTCTTCCAAGAGCTGGAGCTGGTGGATGCATTCTTAGGGTTTCTAATTGATACAAATATTTTTAATATACTTAATTAATTAATTAATTCCTAGTTGCGAAAAATACTAAATTTGCAATTATTTTGTTTGTTTGATGGACATAAAACTCACTTAAATATTCAAACTAGTGAATTATGTTGAGTATCCCAACGAACGCAACCAACGCCAACGAATTGACGCAAAAGCAAAAAATAAAGCTCAGAAAAACAAGCAAAATAAGATAAAAGTAATAAAAAAAAAAAATAGCCACAAGACATAATTTCGAGAGCGAAAAAGATCAAACTATTGTGAAAAGGAACTAAAATGTTAAAGTTAATAGACGTGATACTGTACATGCAGACATACTTTTTAATCATACATTTAAAAGCACTACTTTAAAAAGTGGTATTCAAGTACACATACCAGAAATAATAAAAGAAAAACTTTATATGCCCACATTTAATAACATATTTTTTGATGTTTGCAACAATATAAAATCTTCAAATTTAAAGAATATATCCTAAAGCAAATACAAAAATTTAAAAATCAGCATCAAAAAAACGTGCTGGTGAGTAGGCGAAAGAAAGTTGTGTTTTCAAGTAAGAGGTATTCAGAACATGAAGAAATACACATTTTCTCAGATTTAATGGTGAAACAATGAGAAGACACCAATACGTCTGTAAAGGATTTTTTTATACAGGATGATATTATTCTTGTTCGTATAATATTACTAAATCAAACATTGGAATAAGTGGAATAAGATGTCAATTTTGTGTTTAGAGTTATTGGCACTAATGCAACAAAACAACAATAACACGAAAACTTATATTATTTTTGTGTGCCCTACCTGTAAAAACAAAAAAAAAACTGAACAACTTAAAAAATTAGGAATTTTATGAATGGTCAAATGACCATAATTTTATATAATAACTATGGTAAAGATATTATTTCCCTTACAAAATATTTTACTTTAAAAGATTTTAAAGACCAATTTACAATTTTAGTTCAATTTGCAATCCCTTAAATATCCAATGACTCTACCCGTTACCCTATTTAATTTTAATTTTAAGTTTTTTTATAAAATGATTTTTATAGAGTTGCGAATAGGACTTGGTTTTTTATGATCGCAACTGTATATTGATGAATGAAATTTTTACATTTTTAAATAGAATCATACTACTTTTATATTGCTCATGGATTAAAAATTAATAATGTAGATGGAAAACAAACATATTCTTACCATTTACCACCTTGTCCAACAATTTCATTTCCATAATAGCATCATAACTAAATTCGTTGTTATGCCGTTTTAAAACAGATCGTATTTCTTCTCTAAGCTTTTCTTGAATCTCTGGGTTTCTGGACAACTCTAACAAAGCGAAAGATATAGTAGTAGAGGAGGTTTCAAATCCGGCTAGGAAAAATACAAAACACTGGGCAGCGACTTCATTAAAGCTTAAAAAGTTGTCGTCATTTTCGCTGGTTTTTTTATCCACAGGTTTAAAATCTTCATCTTCTGTAACTTTCCCTTTGTTCTTAAGCTGCAACATTAAATGCAAGAAGTCTCTCCTATATATATTATTTTTTTCTCTAAACGAAACCGTGCTCTTTACTATACCCATAAAAAAATCTTCAAGCTCTCGGTCGATCATCTTCAGGCGAATAAAATCCAGAAACCACTTAGGTAAATTTGTAGACATTTGGCGTTTTAGTCTCCTCCAAGAGGTAATTTCAAACACCTTCTTTCCAAATTGTCTAAATTCGGAATTTGGGTCTTTTAGACTATTACAGTCAATGCCAAATGCGGCAGATCCGATAATATCTGTGGTAAATCTTGCTATTAAATCTTTTATGTCAACAGCATCTTGAATACGAGCATGGTCTTTTAAGATTTCGTTTAGGCCTTGGGTACAAGTCACCATAGTGGGGAACATCATCTTCATTTTACCTAAAAGAAAGAAAAATATAAAAAAGCAACCTAGAAGTTAGTTTTTATCACCCAGAAAGAACGGCAACGTGTTAAAAGTCAGCCCTCCTACAAAAAAAAAAAAAATTGTAGTCAATAATACAGAAATCCGAAAAAGTACTCAATAAAATCAATAATAATAATAATATAATTAACCTAACCTAACCTAAACCTGTGGGAGATTTTTATCAGTTTCTTCTATCAGGCGCGGCCCCCTGCGAATGGGGGATGCTTTCTGGGTATCCGTAGCGCAGATACCCAGAGGGTAACAGGAATACCTGTCGTGGAACAAAAACTGACACCTGGCAGTAGGTATAAAATGCACACCCATGATAATGGAGTTTAATAATTTATGTTTAGGGTCGCTGCCTGGGGATCGCCAGGGCACGTCTGGAGCCGACGCTGGACGTGACAGCATGCGGGACGTCGGTGGCAGGGTGTTGAGGAGGCGGGCCCCTGTCATACAATCAGCTACAGCCCAACAACAACAACAACAACCACAAGTGAGCCAAACAACAACAAGAGCTCCACTCGCTGAAGGTGCTGCGCTGGAACATCAGCCGGCGCTCACTCAAGCGGGACGACCGAGGCAGCGTATGAAGTGGACAGTGTCCATAAACGAAAATATTTTGCGCTTTTATTATAAGGTGACAAACCTCGGTCAAGAAACAATCGGCTATCGACAACAACTGTATGCCGAATTTTGCAGGGAGTACCCAGAAATCCAAGTATCTGAACAAAGAGTAGCAGATCAATACCGGGTAATTTTAAGAAACAATCTTATTCCAGAGAATAGACGCGACACCATCAGACGCGAAATCGAACGGGAGATCCATAACCAAGAGCAAGTTGCAGACCAAGTCCCTAATGAAATCCCTAATGAGCAGATTCCTGAGATTCTCATACAAGAAACTCAACCTAATAATACACAGCAGGACAATAACGAGTTGCACGATAGTCTGGCAAACGAAATGGCGCGCGCCGTACAAGAGTTTAGTGGAACAAACCCACTTAGCAGACCACCGCTACCAAAAATAAACTCTTCCAAGAAACTAGGAGCGCTGTTACAAATCGTGAATACTGAAGTCCTACCCAATTATATCACAGAAGCCCATACATTGGAATATTTGCATATGCTGATTTACTGTGCAGCAACAGCAATTGCTAATGTTATGGGCATTAAGATCAGAACACGACGGGGTACCAACATCGGAAGGACTGGTAACAGAATAGCACCCTGGGAAAAACGACTGCTGAAGAAGATCGAATTACTGCGTAGGGACATTGGACAAATAACAGAGTACATAAGAGGAGTAAGAAGTAGAAAAATCATCAAAAGAGCTGAAGAAATACAGTTTAACACTCTAAGACACTCACGATATGATCCAGAAAACAACACACCTCAACAATGCCTGGACACATTAAAACAAAAACTATCTGTTTACTCAGGCCGCCTGAGAAGATACAAAGTTAGTAACAACCGGAAATGCGACAATATACTTTTTGAGCAAGCAGAGAAAACTTTCTATAGGAAACTTAATTCCACTGTAGAAAACGCAAATAAATCCTACCCAAGCCAAGAAGAAATTCATGAGTTTTGGGGAAACCAACTTTCGACGCCAGCTACCCATAACAACAAAGCTGGATGGATTGAAGACACCACGAACAAATGTCAACACTACAGGAATATTCCTTATGAACCTTTCACCACTGAAGAAGTCTCGAACATTATCAAAGAGCTTCATAACTGGAAATCTCCTGGACCGGACGGAGTTCAAAACTTCTGGCTAAAGAAGTTTTGGAGTGTTCATGAGCTTTTAACAGTATTTATTAATAATATTATTTCTAATTCACAGGAAATACCATCATTCCTTACTCAGGGAACCACCTATCTAATACCGAAGGATCAAAATAACACCCAAGATCCAGCCAAGTACCGCCCAATTACTTGTCTTCCAACTTTGTACAAATTGGTCACATCCTGTGTGGCCCGGCGTATCTACCAACACTGTGCTCTGAACAATATCATAGAGCCCCAACAGAAAGGATGCGCTAAGGGCTCCATGGGATGCAAAGAACAACTTATTATCGACTCAGTCATTTCTAACCAGGCATACACCAAAAAAAGAAACCTTTTTACTGCCTTCATTGACTACAAGAAGGCTTTTGATTCAGTGCCGCATGAATGGCTTATAGATATATTGAAAATATATAAAGTCGATGATAATCTCGTGACCTTTTTGAAGCATATAATGGCAGAGTGGAAGACTAAAATTCACCTTCAAATACCTGGTGAAATTAATATCGAAACTGAAGATATCCCTATTAACCGGGGCCTTTTCCAAGGGGACTCGTTGAGTCCACTTTGGTTCTGCCTAGCGATGAACCCACTATCTCAGCTGCTGAACTCTACTGACTCAGGATTTAGCATCAAAAATAACAACACCGTTGTAGCGAAACTTAATCATCTGTTGTATATGGATGATTTAAAATTATTGGCTTCCACCCGAAATCACCTAGATGAGATGCTAAAAACTGTAGAAAATTTCTCAAATGACATCAGTATGCATTTTGGACTAGACAAGTGCCGTATACTAAATATAGTCAGAGGAAAGGTTCAGCCTGGAGGTTTCGATATGCAAGATGGCCAAAACATCGAGGCAATGGGTGAAAATGATATGTACAAATATCTCGGAGTAAAACAGGCACGTAAAATTGACCATAAACAAATGAAAACGGAACTAACTTCGGAGTTCGTGCGAAGAGTAAGACAACTAAATCGGTCATATCTTAATAGTAAAAATTTGTTTAAGGCATTAAATACGTACGCCTGTTCTGCACTGAGCTACTCATTTGGTATTATAAAGTGGTCAAAAACGGATATAGAGGGTCTTCAGCGGAAAGTAAGAACACTTCTCACAAAGGCGCAAAAACATCATCCACGTAGTGCAGTAGAGAGAACAACATTACCGCGGTATCAAGGGGGAAGAGGACTTATGGATATAGGTGAGCAATTAGATAAACAAATTGCTAATCTAAGACTTTATTTTCAGGTACAGGCTGAGACATCTACTTTACATCGAGCAATTTGCGCAGTAGATGATACGACGCCGCTTAAACTGAGGGAACAAGAAATGCGCATAAACCACCTGACTCAGCAAGAAAAAATGCGCACCTGGATGAGTAAACCTCTGCATGGGCGACATCTCAATGAGATCAACCAAGAATATGTCGACAATACAGCGTCGAACTATTGGTTGACATCAGGAAAGATGTTCCCCGAGACTGAGGGTTTCCTACTTGCCATTCAGGATCAGGTTATTCCAACTAAAAATTACCTGAAGTATATTGTTAAAGATCCTCAAGTCCAAAATGACAAATGCCGATATGGATGCCAAGCCCAAGAAACCATCCAACATCTTACCGGTGGCTGCCAGGCATTTGTCGGTACTGATTATAAAGAACGCCATGACTCAGTAGGAAAGATTATTCACCAAGAACTAGCTGACAAACTGGGACTTCTCCATACCGACCATCTTCCTTATTATCAATACGCTCCTGATAGAATGCTTGAAAATGACAACTACAAGCTATACTGGGACCGCACTGTGCTTACAGACCAACCAGTGGCCCATAATAGACCGGATCTCATACTAGTTAATAAACTTACTAGACAAACAACACTTATTGATGTGGCGATACCCAACACCAATAATTTAGTTGTTAAATACAACGAAAAGATCGCCAAGTACAGAGATCTAGAAATACAAATCAGGAGACAATGGAGAATGGAAAGTACCCAGACACTACCTATTGTTCTATCTACTACTGGTGTTATTCCCAAAAACCTCCTAGCGAACATAAAACAGCTGGGTCTAAATGAACATCTTTATAAGGCCATGCAGAAAGCTGTACTCCTCGCGACGTCCAGATGTGTACGAAAATTTCTGGGAGATACTCCAATATACCAAGTCACCTAGGGCTCGATAACATGGAAAGAGTCCCACCAGAGCTCAATCCTTTTGATACCGTAGGTATCTGGGATGAGTGAATTTTCCCCTTAGAGGGAGTGTGAGCCGTATGGCTAAATCTGGGATATAAATTAAAGAATCACGTAATGGCAACACTTAACTAAGGGAAAAATAAATGCGCATAAACCACCTGACTAAGCAAAAAAAAAATGTGCACATGGATGAGTAAACCTCTGCATGGGAGACATCTCAATCAGATCAACCAAGAATATGTCGACAATACAGCATCGGACTATGACATTAGTAAAGATGTTTTCCGAGATTGAGGGCTTTCTACTTGCCATTCAGAATCAGGATATTCCAACTAAAAATTACCTGAAATATATTGTTTAAAGATCCTGTTTAAAGTCCAAAATTGACAAATGCCGATATGGACGCCAAACACAAGATACCATCCAACATCTTACTGGGGGCTGACAGGCGTTTATTGATACTGATTATAAAGAACGTTATGACCAATTATCCACCAATAACTGCTGAAAAACTAGGACTTCTCCAAACCGACCATCTTCCTTATCATCAATACACTCTGCTCACAGACCAATCAGTGGCACATAATAGACTGGATCATTATGCTAGTTAATAAATTTATTAGGCAAACAGACACTTGATGTGGCGATACCTAACACCCAATAATTTGCGTGGTAAATACAACGAAAAGATCGTAAAGTACTAAAGATCTAGAATTACAAATTAGGAGAAAATGGCGAAAGGGAAGTACCCAGACATTATCTATTATGCTATCTCTGCTACTGGTGTTATTCCCAAAAACCTCCCAGAGAACTTAAAACAACTGAGTCTAAATGTACATCTCTACAGGGCCATGCAGAAAACTGTAATCCTCGCGACGTCTAGATGTTGTATGAAAATTTTTGGGAGATACTCCAGCATACCCAAGTCACCTAGGGCTCGATAAACACGGAAAGAGTCCCACCAGAGCTTAATCCTTTTGATACTGTAGGTATCTTGGATGAGTGAATTTTCCCCTTAGAGGGAGTGTAAGCCGTATGGCTAAATCTGGATTAGAGATCAATACCAGTCTTAAGTTTAATTTAAGATTATAGAAAGAAAATAATGTATGGATGATATAATTGGGAATTATACACAGCATACAAAGAATCGTAACATTTATTACTATTGGACGTTTGTGCTGGATAGGACATATTGGACGGATGCAGGAGAATGAAATATCAAATAAAATAATAGCAGCTGCTAGTAGGAAGGGGATCGAATATAGATATCTGGAATAGGGCAAAACAAGATTTGAAAACTCTAAAGACCAACCAATTGAAAAAACAAAGCCAGGAACAGATCGAAATGGCAGAAAATCGTAGAAAAAACTAAGCCTCACAAAGAATTATCTCTAAGTTGTCTAGTTTAACTAAGTTTAATTACTACGACTGGCTAATGGATTTACTGTCTGCAGTCATATAAACCCAAACCAACAACAACTAGCACTATGTAGCTATGCCAGAGATGCCAGCACTGCTACAAGCTACAAAAGTGTTACAAAATGGTAAAATTGTATACTTGATTTTATTTTGTAAATCATACAATTTCTGGGAATTCAACCGCGATGTACACCAAATCTTCGTGGACTTTAAACAAGTTTACGATTCTGTTAGCAGAGAAGCATTGTGGGAGACCATGGTAGAAATAGGACGTACCTAGAAAGCTGGTATGATTAGCATAACGTCAGCACAGAGAACGCTTTCCACACGGATCAGATTTGGCAGCACCACGCCGGAGGAATTTCTCATTAATACCGGGCTTAGACAAGGAGAACCTCTTGCCCCCTGCTATCAAATTTTGCACTGGAACATGCAGTAAGGAAAGCTCAACCACAACTGACAAATGGATTTGCCGCCCAAAATACTATTGGCGTTTGCGGATGAAGTGGACCCCATTGCACAATCCACCAGAGATGCAAAAGAAGTTTTCAGCCTATTCGAAAATGGAGCCAAGGTTCGGAAGTTGGTCTGAAGGTCAACGAGGACAAGAACAAGTACATGGTGGTTTCGAAGAACTCAAGACCAAGGGTTAGACAAAACGTAACAATCCATGAATACAACTTTGAAGTTTTCAAAAATTTCAAATACCTGGGATTACCCTGGGAAGACCCAAATACTATAACATCTGAAAATAAATATGAAAAAGCCGTGGCAGCCAGGATCATTGCAGAAAACATGGCATATTACTCATTAATGACCGTACTTAAATCAAAAATACTCTCAATGCTAGCATAAATAAGAGAGTATAAGACAATAATTCGTCCACAATAACGTATGGAAGCGGGAAATGGACTTTGAACTAGCGAGAAACGACAAAATTACTGATACTGGAAAGAAAGATACTGCAGACTATCTATGAGCCTTGCAGAGAAGAGACAACAGGAGAATGGAGGAGAAGATACAATGATGAACTCCAGACAGTATATGGAGATGAAAACATAGTACGCTACATTAAAGCAAACTGAATAAGATGGGCGGGCCACGTACTAAGATCGAATGACGAAACACTCCTGAACGCCTCATTCTGGGGAAGGCCCGATGGCAGAAAGTCAGTTGGTCACCCAAGAAAGAGATGGAAGGACGCAGTGGCCAGTGATCTACGTAAAATGGGAGTGCAGAAATGGGAAATAGCTGCTCAGCACCGACAACAATGCAGGAAATAGAGTTGTAGAGCCAAATGATGATGATGAAATCATACAATTTCATCATTTTGTAACTCTATTTATTAGTAGCTTTTGTCTGAAGGTGTTAGAGAAATTTAACATCTTTAGATAAGTGTACACTTACCTGTAGTAAAGGTTGGTGTAAGTTTGGACCTCATCTTCCTCCATTTTTCACTTTCCAATGAAAACAAATGATTCGATAGAGGATCTACTTCCGGATTGGTGTAGTTACCATGGTTCATGAAATGACTAAAATCTTTCTGAAGAATACCCTTGATAATATCAAGATTAACTGGCATAAATCCCGGTTTAAGTGCTTGGTAAAACCCACCGTACTGCCCACCGTTCGATTTGATTTCATTGTAGATGTCTGTGAACAGCTCAGCGATGGAAATGTTTCCGGTTGTCATCGGTTTAAAGTTTCCATACAAAAACACAGGCTCTAGCTGATATACTCCTCTTCGTTTCCAATACTTGTACAGCCATTTTTGGTAAAGATAAAAACCTGCAACGATCAGTATCACTAGAAACACCAACATATTTCGTCGACTGAAACAATAAAAGTATTCACGTTATTTATTTATAAACGCTTTTGTTGCTCTTATAAGAATGAGGTTATTTCAATAATGTGGTCATTAAATGATTAGTGGTCGATATATTTCGACAGATAAGATAACAGATGAGTAGAAAATAAATATTTGCTTTAATTGTATATAATTAAAGGGAATATATGCCAATAGACCAAAGCATTTGAAAATGGTAAAAAGTGAAGAAAAAATTGTAACGGGATGGATAACAAAAGGCAAATGAAAGAAAAAAACACGAGTATGTGTGGTTGGAAATATGACTTCGGATTACTAGATCCATTCGCCTAACCAATTCTTATTATTTGAAATCGTGAATTTCTAAACTTTGTAATTTTTGTTTTACATTAAAAAAAATCGATGTTTTATATTTTACATATTTAAATTTGTATTAGATAATATTCCCGACCTACTTTAGAGGAATAATTTAGTTAATTATTAATACTAAACTTATCACCTAACTATTTCTGCAAAATTCCTAATGCCACCACAGCACATCTACCTTGAAATAGATCCACCCTTGTTTATATAATTAATGCATTTTCAGAACATCGATGCCATTTGGTATAAATTCTGGACTAAGGCAGGGGGACCCCTTGTAACCGTTTGCTGTTTAATTTGCTGATCAAGGATCAAAACTGTTACTGGCCTTTGCTGATGATATAGATGCAGTCACGCACTCTACAAGAAATGTAAGAGAGGTGTTTCCACAGCTCGAGGAGAAAACAGGTAGTCTGGGACTCGGAATAAATTAAGAAAAGTCAAAATTCATGGTAGTAACCAAAAATCCAAGACCAAGAGTTAGGCAGAACATCAGTATTAATGATCATATGTTCGAAGAAGTAAAGGAGTTTAAATACCTGGGTGCGATAATCACAGCTGACAAAAAGAGGTCTCAGGAAGGATAGCTGCGGGAAATAGAGCATTATAGTCCCTTTCAACATTAAGATCGAAGCTGCGAAAAAGAAAATCTTAATTAACACTGTACAAGTCGATTATTCGCCCAATTATTACATATGGCAGTGAAACATGGACTCTCAACCAGCGGGAAATCAATAAGCTTCTAGTATTTGAAAGAAAGATTCTCAGAATAATAGTTGGCGCTCAAAGAGATGAATTAACAGGGGATTTGAGAAGAGGCCGCAATGATGAATTGGTGACTCTGTATGGAACTGAAAACATAGTTAAACATATCAAGGCAAACCGAACAAGATGTGGAGGTCACGTGGTTCTCATGCATAATAATCCGCCAGATCGTTTGCCGTTTCCCAAGCAAGGTCTTTAATGGTAACCTCTGATCTTTAAGCAATATTGGATTATCTTATTCGACAAGGCCGGTTTGAAACGAAAGCGTTCCGCTCCAATCTTTATCGTGGATATACGTTCAGCCTTCACTGAATTCTCTACACCATTTGCGAACATGTTAAACAGATATGCACTTCTCCCCATAAACTTCTATTTACTGATAATGAATGTCAATAGGTGAGATCCGTTTTGCATTTAAAAAACGTATCACAGCACGAATTTTGCATCTGGTGTAACAGCGATAGGAAGTTTCATCTTCGAAGACTGCTAGGCCGGCACTAAACGATCATCTTGGCGTTAGTGGTAGGGAGAGGAGAGGCAGAGTTGATGCATAAGGCAGTGTTGCCAGAGTTTTCCTAGTCAGGTCGGATTCTTTCTCAGCGGCATAGAGAAGCTTTTCTTACGAATGACCCTAATATAATAATTTCTAAGCTTAGCTTAACTAGTAAGTTCCTATTATAAATTTAAAGGTAAAATTCCATAAACAAAAAAAAATATAATAGTTTATTTATTTAACTGCGTTTTTAATGCTTCAAAATATAAACATTGCATACGAAAGCCACACCTTCAAAACGCAATTTGATTTTTCGATAGGACCCTCTGATCAAAAGATATCAAATTGTTACCGTCGAGTTGATATAAATTTTCAATTTCGGCGGTCGCTTCAAGCGTTGCTTCTGAGAGAACGGTTGGGAGAAAAATTTAAGGGTTTAAGAGAGAAACCAGGTAGTAGGAGTAGTTTAATTTTATGAATATTTTTTGGAGTCCCAAAAATTTACGTTCACAGCAACATTCAGCTCGTATAATTTTTAGAGGTTCGGTGGATTTTAGTCTCTGATGACTGAAGTAGTAGAGGAGCAGAAACTTCTATTTCATTTTCTGAGAAAATTAGAAATTAGAGAGATTATAGCAAACAAAAAGTACATCGATTTTTTTTAAGAAAGCAGTTATTTTGAGGTGAGAATTTCCTATTGAAATGTATGGCACTTTTTCGATATTAAATTAAAATAAGGAGAAAATGAATATTTTAAATCAAACAGTTGACGTGTTTTGGGAAAAAAGGTAATTTCTTGAAAACATTTTTTTTTGTGTAATATAAAAATAAAAAAACCCAAAAATTAGATTATTTGATAGTTAAATAGTTGAAGACCTTCTTATTACCTACAACCTACAACTTTACTATCTGACTTTCTTCCATTTGTAGCGTTTTAAATTTGTTTCTGTCTATAATATTTAATATCTATATAATAATATAAATTCTGTATAAAGTTTTGTAGTACGCCCCTGAGTTGTTTATCTCGTAGTACGCATTAAAAATTACCAGGAAATCTGCGTTTGTCTTTTAAAAAGGAATTTTAAAACGATCGATAATATAGCGAGTTTTGTATTCAGTTTTCTAAGACATAATAACGCTGGGAATATTTTTTTGTACTTTATTCAAATCCCCCAATTCTCTGTATACATTGTGAGGTAGAAAGTAGTATGTTTCAAGGTTATTTGGCGAGAGGTATTATGTTTGTTAAGTTCGTAGGTACAAACTGGTTCTAAGACGCGAGCAGAATTTGAATTGCGTTTGGTTTAGAATCTAAGGAAAGATTTTTAGTGAAGCAGGGGCATTCGAATTGAGAAGAGGTTGTCAAACTTTTTAAGAGAAGCCGGCAAAATTTGTGTAATAATTAATGAAGTTTCTAGATTCACGACCGGTCCAGATTATGATTTACTCTTTTAATATGGCATTTTAGAACAGAGTAACCACTAGTGATGTAACGAATATTCGCATTCGCATTCGCATTCGCGAATATTCGCATATTTTTGCACATTCGCATTTGCATTCGCATTCGCAAAATTTGTGCGAATGTTTTGCGAATATTACACAGCTTGCATTTAGCTCGTTCAGTATCGAAAAGTGGTGAAAAATAAGTCCATATTTCACTATAATTTGATTTACTCATAGTAATAAATCGCTAATCACACTTTAACTAAAAATTCACTTGTATTTGTGCACGAGCAGAGCAGGGCAAGTGGAGTGACTTGTGTCCCGTGAAATTTTTATTGGAACTATAACCAGAGAACTTAGTTCACTGCTATAACTTTCTCTCTATAACAAGTCAAATTTGATTATAACAAGAGAAAATAAGATCGAAAAACGTGCTTTCTACGTTTTTGGCCCGGACGTGACTATAAATAAATACCTTTTTAAACGACCCTCAATAAACTTAACCGCCTACAATAAACTTCTTTACAATAAATACAACTGTTTCACATCTTTACTTTAGCAAAATATGATAGAATGCTACTGGACAATTTAAAGCAGTTAAAAATGACAGACTTTTTCTAACTGCCTACACACCTCGCGCAAATGAGACTGCCGGCAGTGCCGGAGACAATTATAATTGCCAAATTAAAAAAAAAACTGAATATTCGCATTCGCATTCGCATTCGCGAATGTCGGTGGCATATATTCGCATTCGCATTCGCTTTCGCGAATGTTTAAAAAATGACATTTGTTACATCACTAGTAACCACATTAAGGTTTGTGCAGTATACCGGAAACTGAAGGAATTTTGAAAGCAGTATATAGGGTGTCCCACTAGCTTCGTTTGTCGTCTGCTTGTTCCAACCTAGTTTGCGTCTTTGATCGTCGTTCCAGTTTATAGAAATGGTTTCCTTTGTTCCTGTTTGAGAATTTCTCCAGGTAGCTTCAATCCCAGAGATATTAGCAAGTTTTTTTTTTAAAGTTAAGTGACGAAATATGTGAAAATAAGGTAACAATTAATATATTAATTTTCAAAGTAAAAGAAAATTTTTTTTTAAGTATTGCTTTCATTTAAAAATTAAAAAATTTGTAATAATTAAAATTATTAATTATGTTAGAGGCGTAGCTAAAAAATGTCTTAAAATGCTAAAAAAATAATTTATTCTGTCTTAAAATGTTGTATTGACATATGACAGTTTGGCTCTAATCTATTGCTGTTAAAAAAAATTTAATTTGATTATTATATAGAAAAGATGTTTCATAGAAAAGGTTAAATTTTACGATATTTTCATTTACAAGGATATCCTTAATTTAAAAATCTATTTTGGACACAATAATAAATAACCTAGGAACCATTTTGAAAATTTTGGTAGCAATCTGTTTTGTGAACAGATAAACCAGTAACTTTTTGTTAATTTTGTATTATGTTATATAGTATGTTTTTTGTGCAATCTGTATTTTTGATAACTTTTTGTTTGAGACAAAAATAAAGTCTCCTAACCCTTGTATATATTCTTCATTTTAGGAAAGAAGAATTTTCTTTCTTCCAGCAGGAAGTTTTCTCGAAGAGGTGTCCGAATAGAAAATAGCTAGAGGTAATTCTTGTCTGAGATATTTTTTCGTTTTGTTCTAGGAGATTTATGTAAGTATCCCTTTGTTTGTCGCAAAGAGTGTCGCAAAGCTAAAGAACAGTGGCTGCTAGTGTGTGCAGAAATGAAGGAATTGGAAGAAAAACATGACTACTTTAACATACATAAACTTATTAAAGAAGTGACAGGTTTTACAAAACCTAACAGTATTGTGAAGGACAATAAATTAATTACTGATCCCAAAGATCTACTTCAACATTGGAGAAAGTACACACAGCAACTATACGCAGACACAACTAGAAGAA